CATCATGGAACCTATGTTTCCCTTTTTGGTAGGGGGGGGGGGGGGCAGAGTTTAGGGACTGAGAGCCGGTTCTTTTGAAGCTCGGCTTATTGTCAAAATACGCTAGAAGCCCCCAAAACAACTCATTTTAGAGATTGAGGCATTGAGCTTGACTTATTTACACATCCCTCTTCTTCACACTGGAAAAAAGCTAGGGGTAGGCCAGCTTCCCGCAGCTTATCACTTAATCACGAAATGATATATCTCCTTGCCCTCGCAGTTGCACAGAATAACGCCCGAAATGCCACCGCGTGTCCCAGCCCCGAAAGAAAAAACACCCATGACACCCCCACATCCCTCCTATCCCTATCCCCCGCACAGAAATCCTAGGTAGGGTTTTCCCGCCGTCGCCGACCCCGCCTTCAGCCACCATCGACCCCGCCTCCCAACGTCATTACGCTCCCCCGCCGCCTCCCGACGCCGTTGCGCTTCTCCTCCGCCTCCCAACTTCGCCGCGCTTCTCCCCGCCTCCCTCTACTCTGCCCCACACCGGATCTGAGTTGGAGGTCAAAGACAAGGACGTCGGCGCCGAGACACTTAGCAACGATGCACACACGCATGTCTTCGGTCGCCTTGAAGCTCTGAATTTGCTTCTGTATACAGCAGTATTCTCTTTGCCTATTTCAGAGATGCATTGAAATTTGTTTGACAAATTTCTATGGAAATTTCATAAATTCTGTTCTTGTAAATGTTTGTCATGTTCAAGTTTATACTAGTTCTTTTTAATATAGTTTAGGGGTATTACAGTCTTTTCACAGGAGAACTCAGAAAATAATTCACACAAAAGAACTGGATGGCTTATTCCTATGGGCTTATTTTCACAGCAGCTTATCTTTGACTCATTTCCAAAGGAGGTTATGCATAAGTTACAACTCAAAACAACTGGCCCTTAAGCACATGGTTAGAATGTTGGAAATATGCCCTAGAGGCAATAATAAATTAGTTATTATCATATTTTCCTGTTCATGATAATCGTTTATTATCCATGCTAGAATTGCATTGATCAGAAACTCAAATACATGTGTGGATACATAGAAAACAACATGTCCCTAGTAAGTCTCTACCGGCCTAGCTCATTGATCAAAGATGGCTATGGTTTCTTAGCCATGGACATGAGTTGTCATTTGATAATCGGATCACATCATTAGGAGAATGATGTGATGGACAAGACCCAAACTATAAATGTAGCATATGGTCGTATCAAGTTTATTGCTATCGTTTTCTGCATGTCAAGTATATGTTCCTATGACCATGAGATCATGCAACTCACTGACACCGGAGGAGTACCTTGTGTGTACCAAACGTCGCAACGTAACTAGGTGACTATAAAGGTGCTCTACAGGTATCTCAGAGGGTGTCCGTTGAGTTGGCATGGATCAAGACTGAGATTTGTCACTCCGTATGATGGAGAGGTATCTCAAGGCCCACTCGGTAATACAACATCATAGTAAGCTTGCAAGCAATGTGACTAATGGGTTAGCCACGGGATCTTTTATTGTGGAACAAGTAAAGAGACTTGCCGGTAACAAGATTGAACTAGGTATGGGGATACCGACGATTGAATCTCAGGCAAGAGTAACATACCCATAGATAAAGGGAACTGCATACGGGATTAGTTGAATCCTTGACATCGAGGTTCGACCGATAAGATCTTCGTAGATTATGTAGGAACCAATATGGGCATCCAGGTCCCGCTATTGGTTATTGACCGTAGAGGTGTCTCGGCCATGTCTGCATAGTTCTCGAACCCGCATGGTCTACACACTTAACGTTTGGTGATGATATAAGTATTGTTGAGTCATTATGGGGGTTAGTGAAGGTTGTTCGGAGTCCTGGATGAGATCCCGGACATGACGAGGAACTCTGGAATGGTCCGGAGGTGAAGATTGATATATTGGACGAAGGGTATTGGAGTCTGTATGTCTTCCGGGGGTACCGGGTGATGACCAACATGACCGAAAGGGGTTTCGGGGGCCCCGGCAAGTGTTGGAAGGCCTCATGCGCCAAGGGGGGGGGCAAACCAGCCCACTAAGGGGTTGTGCACCCCCTTCACCCCATCCCCCTAGGGTTCCCACCCCCTTTGGCTTGGGGGCCAAGTCTCCTAAGGGGGAAAACCCATCTAGGGTTTCCCACTTGTGGCCGCCGGCCCTAGATGGGGTCCCTAAGGGGCGCCCCCCTCCCCCCCTTCCCCATATATATAGAGAGGTAGAGAGAGGGCAGCCGCACCCTCATACGCCACGGCACTGCCCCTCCTCTCCCTCGTAGCCTTCTTCCTCTCCGTAGCGCTTAGCGAAGCTCCGCTGAGATCCCGGACTCGAGCTACTACTTCACCATCGCTCGCTGGATCGAGGAGGTGACGGCATAATCAAGCCGTACGTGTGTTGAACGCGGAGGTGCCGTCCGTTCGGCACTTGGATCGGGAGTTCGCGGGACGGGTCGTGATTGGATCGCGAAGACGTTCGCATGACGGATCGTGAATGGACCGCGAAGACGTTCGACTACATCAACCGTGCTTATTAACGCTTCCGATTTGCGATCTACAAGGGTATGTAGATCCAATCTCTCCTTTCGTAGATGGTCATCTCCTAGATTGATCTTGGTGAGCGTAGGAAATTTTTTGTTTCCCATGCAAAGTTCCCCAACATAAAACAACAAATTATGTTGTCATTAACACAAAATTTAATTATGGGCATAATGCCCCTTCACCTAGTCGGTGCACCTCTTGATCTAGACGCTCCACCAGCACAACCAAAGCCCTCGCTACCATATAGCGATCTCCTAGAAGTGATCATTCATGTGCCATACTTTGTATCCTCAGGGGCATGAACCCCGTATACGCATTCCTCCAAGATTTGACCAAGAATGCCACACACTTTGCAAAAGAATCATATCTTCTCATATTTGACAGTCAGAAAGAAAAACCTCAGGGTGCAAATCGTACCAATGACTTGGCAAACTCAATCTTGGCACTGACACATACGTACTCTCTTTTAAAGACCCTTGCCGGGTTCATATCCAAACTTCGTACCTATCCAATCCTCCTAGCCAATTGATCAACAATAGCTTTGGATTGATAGACATCCGAGATACTGTGTATCTGCAACCAGACGCAAACACACTTGAGCTTGCATGCATTCGGCCTTGGCTTCCGATCATACTCCTCTATTGGCACAACGAGGCCATGAAAAATCCATAGACCGTAATGAACCACTCTATTCTTATGTCCTACGCAGAATACAATGGTATGTAACTTGTCATACGCGTACCATTGCATTTTTAGAATCACCCGCCGTTTAATTCAAACTCGAACTCGACAATCAGTGCATGTACAAAGCTTTCGATCATAGTCCCAAGAAATTATAGAGTAACTCATATCACTAAGAATTACAATGATATCTCTTGAAGACTTATTCTCCGTGGTGACAATCCTAGCAACATGAACTACTAGCAAGGCTTCAACAAAGATAATGCAATCAGACGTAGTCAGAGGCACCACCATCCATGTACATGCACCAACATGACTGTCTTTAAAGGTTTCTAAAAAAACCCATGATTATTTTGTAAGATGGGAAGCCGTGAGCGTTGAATGTGCTTGTGTCGGGGATGATCCCCTAGTACTGCGGGTCGTCGAACCAAAAAATCAACACCAAGATGCCAGGGAAGGACATCGAAGCCACAATAGATCAAACCACAAAAAAAACACCACACACTAACATGTACTCACCAG